CCCCCCCCCCAAAAAAAAACAACAACAGCGGATAAAATACCATAAAATTAATACAAACATTTCCTGCAATCATAAACACAACAGGGTTCCATTTGTAATTCAAAATAGGGTTAAAATCAATGCACAGAATTCAGTATAAATTTATATATTATACAATTTATAATAAATACAACCTGAAATATTTTTCTGATTATAATGTCCTAAGTGGTTCTGTCACTGTTTTCAAGCTAAATACAATCCTACTCTGTTGAAGGCTTGGCTCATGAATATTAATTAGGTTGCGTGTGCGTCGCCAGGTAGTCCTGATTGGACAACATAAAGCATAAACATGTTAAAACCAACAGTGGGCGCCAGTAGCGGGCAAATAAAATAACCCTCGTGATATATATTATATAATCATGTAGATTATTGTATTTGTCCGCTGCTGGCGCCCGCTCTTTAACGTTTCTATTTGATCCAATCAGACAGGACTACCGGTCGACGCACACGCAACCTAATTAATATTCATGAGCCAAGCCTTCAGCAGAGGAGGATTGGCAAATTCGTACCTGGTTTAATCAATCAGTAAGAACAATGTTACGCTGTCTAAACGCGCTGTGCGAGTGTTTTGAAGATATTATGTAATATTTATGCACTTCGCGCTTGGCCAAGGAGAATTTAAACGAACATGGAAGAGGTAAACAAATTGTTTGGGATAAACAACAAAAACGCCAAACATGTCTTATTTTGCCAAATAGATTTTGTTGAGCAAAAGCACGCTGCGTTTTGTTTTAATGTTGTTGTACTTAATTTTATATTCAAATGCATGATTTTCAACAATACTACACTGTCCCTTATGAGCTTAAATATATATTTGTCAATGCACTGATGAGATCTGTTCTCTTTATATGTTGGCTATAGGAAGCCTGCACCAATTTCAAATCCATAAGGGCAAAGTTCCAGGAAGAGATCCAGGTGAGGTACAGACCTGCGCTTCCTGAGAAACCCAAACGCCTCCCGACCTCTGCTGTAGGCCGCTCTGGTCTGATAACCATGAGCTTTTCTTCAGCTGTGGAAGCCAAGACCGCCAGTCAACCCCGGGTCATTTTGAGAGAAGACCTGAAAACACCTTCAGGAAAACGCCCTGTATCGTTCCCAAGCACAACATCTGGAGATGGGCCCAACAGGCAGTCACTTAAAATGTGGCATTCGCCCCTCGTGTTGCCGCTTTCAAGCGAGCCAAAGCATGACTCTTCCGCACCTCCTTCAAAGAGCATCACCTCGCCTCTTAAATTCATCATGAAACCAATTCCTACACCTTTCAGCTTGACTAGAGTTTCAGTGTGTGGCAGAGAAATTGGTAAAAATGGTCTGGGGCTTGTGAAAAACAGTGGTGCTTTTAATGTTCAGATGGAAGAGTCCACCGTAAAGACTGCAAGCACAGAAGCTGTGGAGGTCCAGCAGACTATGGTGTCAAATCCTGGATTGCTGGATCATCCACCTTCGCCTAATGATTCACTGAGAGATTCGTCTTCTGGAAGTGTTACTCATTTCTTTGACCAGCATGTCCTGAGCACACTAGAGAAAGCCAAGAGGAAGCTCTGCCACAAGAACCTGTTGGTGTGCGGCAGACCAAAAGGCTTCTACTCTAGTAAAGCACAGGCGCAGCTCGCAGAAAGTCCTGGAAGTTGTCACCAAGAGACTTCTCCATTGAAGATTAATGCAACATCAAAGAGTAAGTTGCAAATCTTTTGCATGGATGCATATGAAGGGTTGCAATTTCATGCATGATACATAATGTAAAGTTACTTTAATGTAAGACCTGAGGAATTTGTCTTTATATCTTACACCTGTTTTTGTGCCTTAGCTGCCATCACTGTAATGGAGCATGGTGGAGTCATGCAGTCTGAGAAAGCATGCAAACCTCTTCCTGATCTGGCAACCCTAGGCCCTTCGCCCTCAAAGCCTCCAAGACCCCCACATGTGGATCTGAGCAAATATAAGACTGGATCTCACACCAGTGACCCAAGCGAAGCACTTACTGTTGGTTTGTAGAAGTTCATTCACCTACCTCTCTCTCTTTTTTGATGTATTGTTCCTTGATGTTTGTCTTTGAGATTAATTCTCTGCAGTAGCAAACCTGAAATGGTTAAAAAAAAATGGTTAGAAACCTTTCTCAGCAAGGCTGTATTCTTTTGATAAACAATGCAGTAAAACAGTAATATTGTGAAATATTATTAAAATTTTCTATTTGAATACATTTAAAAAAAAAAAAAAAGTGAATTTATTTCTGTAATGGCAAAGCTGATTTTTCAGCGGCCATTACTCCACTCTTCAGTGTCACATGATCCTTCAGAAATCATCAGAATGTTAAACGCATCTTTTGTTAAAAAACAAAATTATGATGCACTACCATTCAAAAATTTAGAGCAAGTAATAAAAACATTTTTTTTAAAATGAAAGGAAGAAATTAATAGTTTTATTCAGCAAAGATGCATTAAATTGATCAAAAGTGACAGTAAAACATTTATGTTATAAAAGATTTATTTTTTAATAAATGCTGTTCTATTGAACTATCTATTCATCCAAAAAATTTTTGTTTCCACAAAAATTCTAAGCAGCAAAAGCTGTTTCCAACATTAATAATTAGAACCATTATTAATTAGTGAGCTACAATATCCACATTATCCTTCAGAAATCATTCCGAAAATGCTGAAAATTCAGCTACTGTATGCCATCACAGGAATAAATTACATTTTAAAATATATATTTTTTGAGAAAGTTCTTTCAAGGTGTAATAATATTTATTAATGTTTTACTGTATATTTGATTTAATAAATGCAGTCATGGTGAGTATAAGAGAAATCTTTCCAAACTTTACACCAGCACTTGCACCCTTACTAAAAAAAAAAACAAAACAGTTCATTAGGCTCACTGTAGGATTTTAACAGTTGCCAAAATATCAGCTTGCTGCATTAATACACTGAAGAATGTGATCTCTGTTAAACAGCTTGAAACACAGCTGATCCATTCAGAATTATTTAATATCAAGGAAACGATTTCAGTCTTGTTCTTTGTTACATTTTTTCTTTCTTTCCAGAATCTGCACCCGAGGCTGAGATTGTGGCCACTGCTAATGCATCACTCGAGGACGCAAGCGTACCTCCCCCCGAATTTCCAGATTTTGACATTTCTGCACCAGAAGCCACAGACAGTAATGGCATAAATCTGGCGGCCCTAGATTTAGAGGCCACTGAATTTCCAGGGTTTGATTCGTTGCCTCCACCTCCTCCACTGCCAGATGAAGACGATGGCCTGCATTTACAGGCTGTTTTGGTCCAGCATTGTCCGAGTCATTTTGGTCCAAAGCAGTCAGAAGACGCTCTGTGTCAGTCTTTAGAGGACGCAGGAATCTTGACGTCTGCTACAGAACCAGTGACCTTTGACCTGAGAATAAATGGATCGCACGCCTCCTTCAACCTGAGCGCTGAACACCAACTTCCATCAGAACCAATGCAAAAGTATACGTTTAATTTGTCTGGTTATGTGGGATGTTCCTGAAATCGTTGCATGCATGACTTTAAGGTTGTATTCTCTGTGATTTTCATTATACTGCAATCAAGACAGATCAGATGTGTTCTTTTTTTCCTCAGTTCTTCTCAACAAAAGCGTTTCCACGAAACCTTTGATAATGTTTATGAGGATGTGGAAACAGTCCCCAGGTTCTCTTTTGCTCAGAGCTCTTATAAGTGTAAAGGGGCTCCTAAAAGTGAGTATTGTGCTAGCAGGACTGTTTAATTTACAGAAAATGTATGGTTTATAGAAAATGTGATTTATGTGTTTTCCCTTTCAGATCCGTATGCCGATAATGGCCATGTGGTGAGTGGTTATTTCTTATAATTAGCATTTATTAAATTAAGCTAGAGATATAGTTTAGTTTACTATGTTTAATGTAAGATCATTTACAGATCAATATTATGTTTGGTATGTTATGTAAGACGCCATATATGCTGACAATTGATTTTAATAGCTGCTTGATATGAAATGATCCTTGAATTTGTTCAGAAAAGTGGAAAACCTTGGGAATCTATTTTTGATAATGGACAAAGTTTATTGTTCTAATGCGTATTAGTCAATGCTAATAGTCTTAATATTAGTTCTGTTGATCTCTTAATTTGTTTGACAGAAAGAAGAAACATGGAGGAATATTTGGCACGTCACTCAATGGTTTGTCAGCATTTATTTCACTCTAATCTTGTCTATAAACGGAGGATAAATTTGTTTTCAGGTGCAGTCCACACAGTTTAAAAAATACTGAATATGCTTTATTAACTTTTTTCATTTTTGAAGGTCTAATGCAGCTGAAGATCAAAATGGCCAACATGATAGGTATTATGATTTTTGTTTTTTGTTGAGTGAACTCCGCGATGTCTTGCCTTGAATGCCATTATTTTCCAGCAAAAGTGTGTATGGATTTATAGCTATATAATTTCTAGCTGGTTCCAGATTCCAGAAAATATGTATTTTAACAATTTTGTAAATGGGAAAAATATATATTCATCTATCTATACACTCTAAAAAATGCTGGGTTAAAAAGGGACAAAACCAGCTATTGGGTTGTTTTGACCCAGTGGTTGGGATGTTTTGAACCCAAACGCTGAGTCAAAACAACCCAACCGCTGGGTCAAAACAACCCAATTGCTGGGTTTGTCCCTTTTTAACCCAGCATTTTTTTAGAGTGTAGGTAAAAAAAGATAATTCTTTTGTGGTAAGGCCAGTGAAAACGTTAGCTTGACATTTTTCTTTATGTAACTTGTAACATATCTAAATGATTGATTACAAAAAAAAAGCCAATAGAGATCCAGAGCAAGGAAGATAAAAGGCGTTCCTCATAGAAGATGACCTGCTAAAAATATGTGATATTTCTTTCAGAAAGAAGCTGAGCCCTGAACATCATGAGGATAAAGAGCAGAAGAAGAAAGAGAAGCAGCGTCTGGAGAAGGAGAAGAAAGAACAGAAAGAGAAGGATAAAAAGAGAAATGAGATGCACAAAAGATTTAAAGTGAATTCAAATACATACGTTAAAGTCACAGTTAATGCACTCTGTGAATGTCAGCACATTAGATGCACAAGTACACACATCTAATGCAGTGACGTATGTTTAAGTGAATGTAGTTCCTGATGTGTTTCTCATTAGATCACTGGACTGGAAGAGCCCATGTATCACGCCAGAGTGTTGGCGGACAGCAAACTGCGAAAGTACGACCTGCCCGTCAAAAGTGGAGATCTCATCAGCATCATCCGAACGGTCAGCTGCCCCAAGGGCAAATGGCTAGCCAGAGACGCCAACAACAAATGTGAGACGTTCCTGAAGATGTCTCAATCATGCAGAGCACTCTTTAGGATCAATTAAGTTCAGAAACAACCCAGTTTATCTGAGTTCACCCTAGAAAATCTCAGACATGGGTTCATTTAAAATCACTCTTGTTGCTGATACAGCTTCACTTGTGTTGAAATCAATCGATGCATTGTGATGCGGACGTGGACGACTCTGCATCGATGCAGTAATAGACCATCGATTATAGCCTACTGACGTCATTCATATACGCGCTTGTCACACGAGTATTAAAAAATGCACCCACTATTTTTAAAACCGAGATCTGGGCACATTTTGGAAAAACCAAGCTTAGTGTGGGGGGGTACATGCTTTGAGTTTTTTCCCCGCATATGGCGTGTGTGTGCGCGCTAGAGACGATCGCTGCGGGCTTCATTGCACTGGAGATGCGCTGTGAGACACGTGTGCATTGCTCGACTCTCTGCTTCCACGCGCCGTTATTTCAGTGTCTTATTTTAGATGTGCTTTCATTGATGCACGAAAGTCGCGTAGGCTACTGACAGACTTTCACGTTTGCTTTGTGTTTGTTTGTCCTGAAGCTCGATCGCGGCGTCGGTTAAATGCATCTCTGAATACTTTTATGATACGAAATTGATATAAACACAGTCAGTTATGTTTTCAGAACTGGACAAAACATCTGATATGTTGAAATAGATCTGTGCATTAGTGTGAATGCAGCCACTGTCTATGATATCAGTAATAATCAAACGGCAATAAAGAAAAACCCATAACTGTAATTGTCTGTGAACTTTCGGATACTTAACACGCACTCTCATACTGAAAGTACTTTTTGTTTATCACTTTTAATTGTCTTTTCCCCTTTATATTTGCTTGTATGTTTTCAAGCTATATTTATTTGGTTAAGATCTTAATTGTTTTGATTTATTATTAATTTGTAATTATAAAAAAAAAATAGCGTGCATATATAATTGAATAAAAATGCACAAAATAAATTTGATATAACCGTGATGCATCGTGATATCGAATCGTTGACTTGATAATCGTAATCGAATCGTGAAATCAGTGACGATTCACACCCCTAGTTGGCAGGCAAATGTCTTTATTCTATTTTCGTGTTATAGATGGATACATATCTGTGATGAATGTGGAGTTGAACATTAAGGAGATGCTTGAGCTCGGAAAAAAGGTATCACAGGCTGCCGGCCGAGGCCAAACCAATGGAGATGACCTTAGTGTCAGCAGCAGGTAAAGAACAAAATGAACCTACGGTACAATAGTCAACATATTCATACCTAGAAAAACATGCATTATATGCATTAACTAACAAGTTAGACCATGGATTGGCTGCTTGGGTTAATATCAATATAAAAATTTTTGAAGCATGATAATTTTAGGAAAAGTGTAAAACTACTTACAGTTGCTTATAAATTTTTGACTAGTGACAGGACACTTAACCCTAGAATATGCACATCATAAATTTGTATAGTTTTTCATTCTTAACTTGATTATGGATAATCACTATAGTGACTAAAAGGAATTCAATGTCCATACAATGTTGCTTCCCAAAACTGAAGTGTTACTTATTGCATCTCATGATAAAATCGAAATTAGTATAACTATTATTACTATTAACTGCAACCATGACTATTTCAAAATGTGTTATATTTGCAGGTCCTCTCATCAGAATCCTGTGTTTACAAGTAGCTGTAAGTTTCCTCTATTTTTTTCTTTATAAAGTCATGGTCAAAAGTATTGGCACGTTATTTAAATGCACAATTTTCTCAACAAATGAATTGACTTGTTTATTTTTGCTTAGTTGTGATATTTGCATCCTTATAGGTTTAAAAATATACTTCTGTGTGTGTGTGTGTGAGTATATTGTACTTTTCACTTTATTATGCATCAAAGACATAAATGTGTTTATACCAAAATATGTTTTCATTTGACTTTCTGGATGAAATTGTAGATTTGAAAAAAGTGCATTGGCGCCAGTATTTTGGCCTGCCGCTGCAGATGTCCTGACGCATGTCAATACATTATCAAAAAATGTGCATGTGGTGTATATTTAGCTCTTTTCTTTTCTATGTGTTCATCCAGTCACTGATGACAGTGAAGAATGGATGTATGAAGATGACACGTTGTCGCTATCAGCTGAAAATTTGTGAGCCTGAACTTCATAAAATGGTTCTGAACTGTTCATCTGAATTTTACACAGATCTCTAGAGTTGTTTCTCATTTTTCTCGTTCTAGGAGTCTGATCAAAGCTACCTCTATGCCTGAGATGTGTAAGTATGTGTTTTTACTCTCTCAGTGTTGAGCATTGTGGTTGTTCATCATGTTTCCCTTCTCTCCTCAGTTGATAGCAACTCTTCTGCTCATCATCCTTCCAGCGACTGGAGTATTGAAGACATGCAGACACAGTGAGTAGTTTGACGCTACAGATAAACACACAGCTGCATAAGCATGTGTTCATGTCCTGTCTGTACACAAGAATATTTGAAGACAATTCAAAGAAATACTCAGTAGTAACCAATATATTTTTTATGTGCAACCTGACACAACACAAGGGAGATTAAAGGGTTAGTTCACCCAAAAATGAAAATTAGCCCATAAAATACTCACTCTTAAGTCATCCTAGGTGTATAATTTATGGGCTAATTTTCATTTTTGGGCGAACTAACCCTTTAAGGCAGAAAATTATGAAAATGCGAATGCTATTGGATTTTTGCATTTTAAATACTACATCTCCACAATTTCTAAAAATTAATTTGATATAAAGCCACTTTTAGGTCTTTTTCTAGGTTCTCATCTACATCCAGTTCTATTATTTCTTCTATTCTTTTGTTATTTTCTTTCACGTCACTATATTCCCCTGCTCCATATGGAAATGATATATTTAGCTTTCAAAAGTCACTTTTTGTCGTGTTTATTCAATGTTTAACCGGTCTTCTGATTCATTGTGATTCAATTAATTGTGATATCTTGTAACTTTGTTAAAAATCTAAATTAAAATAGAATTGATTGACAGCGCTATATTTTTAGCTTGTACAATAACATTCATACAATTCTCATACTCTTCAGTGTAGAATCTCCATTCTGTCTTAAAGCAATAAGCCTCGTGAAGCCGTGGTTTACAGTGAATTTGTAACAGCTGAGGGGCGTTGTTAGACGCAAAGCGGAGTGCCTAAAACCCTTAGCTGTTATAAATTCACTGTAAACAACGGCTTCACGAGGCTTACTGCTTTTATAAAACGGTTATTCCATATACGTAGTAAGGTTTCACAAAATAAAACAGAGCAAATAAAGTGTAATGATATTAATAAAAACAGTATTCTTCCACCAAACAATGTAGTTCCTCAGAAACAGTTGTGGTTGCTACAAAGTGGTTGCTGAGCAACACACAGAAGTAAACAAAGGTGTGTGTTTGTAGTGTAATTTACAACAGCTTCGAACGTGGCTCAGCCAATCAGAATCAAGCACCGGAACTCTCCGTTTTATAATCCTTAATAATCTCTAAATAATCGAGTTTTACATCATTTAAAGAAACGGTGACCGCAAAGCCTGCTGTGTGTGATCATGTCTCGTCTTTAATTACCCCTGTGTTCGTGACAGAGAGGCAGAAAGCTTCCAGTTTGCAGACATTGATCTTCTGCCTCCTCCAGCTCTTTACGCCGACTCTCTGTGAGCCTGTGGTATGTTTCAGCATGTCATCTGATGTTTGCAGGATCATTAGTAGATCAGCCACTGAAAGAAATTGAAACCAGCAATACGTACTCTAATTTAATTACATTTTTTTCTCCACAGTGCATCAAGGACATCCTCATTTCTTCAAGAAGTGTTGTTTGAAAACTAGCTATCTAGCACTGGCCTTTAGTCTTCAGATCATCAAATCAGACTTAATTCTCAAATACGACGAGAACAAATGCTTCAGCGGTGGTAGATTGAGGATGAATAACAGACAATGCCAGCTTAGGGGTTTTAATGAAATGGGGGTGTGGCACTTATTCATTTGAACTGTTAAATTGCAAAATTGAAGTCATTTTTTAAGGCATTGAGAGTAACTTTAATTTTGCGTATGCACCTTTAAGTTGCTTTTTTTTCTTCGTGTGGGAACATTGGAAGTTGGTGGTTTGATTACATGTTTGCTTAATAATGAACACACAACTTGAATGGAATAAATGGATCTGAATACAGCAGTGAGCCTGACCACTTTACTCCACTTAAATGAGCATTAGTTTTAGATGATAAAACTAAAATATGAGCTATATGTACATCACTGACAGTTTTATCACGTCGTTCTCTGCTGCTGCCACATAAAGGCACAATGTTATTAGTTATATTCCAAGATGTGGATATCTAAATTTAAATAATTAATGTATCTATATAATTAAATGTGAAAATACATAAAAAAAAATAAGTATATAAACATAGAAATAAATGTATGGACAAATACTAATTTAATGAATAGCAAATTAATACATTTGTGGCTAAATTGCATGAAAATAAAACAGTTTATTTATAAGAATAGATTTTCGTCATTCACATTTCATCTTGTATGCATTATTTTTTCCTCTTATTTACCGATTTTATTTTTAAAGCCCCGCCCATTTAGCGTCACCGGAAGTTGGTCCTCACCGTGTAACTTCCGACCGGAACACGGAACAGTAGCGTGAACTCGGAATAAATAAATGCAGTGCAGCTGCAAATGAAACCGTATTTTAACGATTGCTGTCTCGAGGTGAGTGTGCAGTGTACCGAAACGTTTATCCGAGTGTCAAAACACATCTTGCGGTTGTTCTAAGCTCCTAAAATGTGTTTTCTTCGTCGCAGGAGATGAAGAGCTAATCATACTGCTGCTTAAGGTAATTCATCTTAATAATGCTACAGTTCTGCTCATGTTAATCGTTAAAATGTCTTTTCGTTTTACTAATTCGCTGTGGAAGATGATTAGAGGTGTTTTTGTTTGTGCTGGCATTTCCTTTCATTCGTTTTGACATTCAAAATTTTTTTTTTAACACGGAATAGTAATTTTCTGTTATGATATTGTAAGCATTTTTTAATGTATGTTAAAACAATATGTATATATATATACACTGCTGTTTAATAGTTTGGGATCAGTAAGATTTTTTAATGTGTTTTAAAGAAGTTTCTTCTGCTCAAGGCTGCATTTATTAGATCAGAAATACAGAAAAAGCAGTAATATTGTGAAATATTATTGCAAATTAAAATATGCTTGTTCTTTTTAACTTTTTATTCATTAAATAATCCTGAAAAAGTATCACAGGTTCCAAAAAAAATATTAAGCAGCAACAGTTTCCAATATTGATAATAAATCAGCATATTAGAATGATTTCTGAAGAGCATGTGACACTGAAGACTGGAGTAATGATGCTGAAAATACAGCTGCGCATCACAGAAATACATTAGTTTAAAGTATATTAAAATAGAAATTTGCAATAATATTTCACAATATTACTGCTTTTTCTGTATTTCCTATCTAATAAATGCAGCCTTGAGCAGAAGAGACTTCTTTAAAACACATTAAAAATCTTACGGATTTTTACTTTTTTTTTTTTTTTTTTTTTTTTTTTTTTTTGTTTTTTTTTTTTTTTTTTTTTTTTTTTTTTAGGCATTGTTTTCTACATATAACTATTATTATATTCAAGGCCATAAGTTATGCGTCTATCCAGAAAAATAACTCCATCCTGAAAAACTTCAACACTGGTGTTCAACCAATGAAAGCGATTATACAGTGCTTCTGTACGTTTAAGATGAAAATATCTTGATGTTTTATTAGGTCTATTGAAGCGGAGCAGTAGGTTATCATCATGGGTCTGTTGTCTGACCCGAATCGCAGGAAAGCCCTGACCAACCTCTTGACCCGCCTCAACGCACCCATATGGTAGGTGCTTCACCTTTGAAATCACAGCATGCAACACTTGTGTGAACCTGACACTCTCTGCCATCACTTCCTGTTCCTTATTTGTTTCTCTGCTTGTTCTTCATCTCTGTTGTTCAGTATGGTGTGCTACCTGGCGGCCATCGTGTGGTTCATGGGTCTGGCGTTTGAGCCCTTCACACTGCGCACGTACATGTCCGAGAACGCCATGGGCTCCACTATGGTGGAGGAGCGCTTCTCCTCCGGGGAACGAGCGCTGTCTCTCGCCAAGGAGTTCGATGCTCACAAAAGAAAGGCGGGGTGAGCAGAACACAGAAGTCACTGTTGTGTGCTTAAAGCAGGTTTAGTCAGAAATCATCCTGATTTGTCTCTGCAGTGGGATGCCGATGGAGTGGTTAGTTAAAGCGATGCAAGCCAGAGGACTGGAGGTGTTCACTCAGAGCTTCTCCCGTAAGCTGCCCTTCCCAGACGAGAACAAAGAAAGATATGTGAGTGTCTGAGTCTGTGTTATTACATCACTTGATGCATATCAACTCTTGTGACTGTGAGCTGTTTTTTGGAATACTATACAGTACTATAAAGAAATTGATATATAGGCATTTAGTAAAATTCAAGGCTGAAGTCGTTTGCATGCTTTAACGTCTCAAGAATGAAGTAAGACTGAAGAGAGAGTGACGTACAGTTGAATATAAACATGTTTCGCTCTGTTTTGTGCAGATGGTTCGAGGCACAAATGTGTATGGGATCTTGCGAGCTCCTCGCGCTCCTCGGACAGAGGCTCTGGTCATCACAGCTCCCTGCAGTCCTGGAAACAGCAACAACCAGGCGGTCGGTCTTCTGCTGGCTCTCGCGCAGTATTTCAGGAGTAAGACACTTTATAAACACATCCTGTCGACGTTTATTTCAATCAGTGTTGTATTTAAAGTTCTGATTTGGCAAATTCAGCCGTTTTCCTTCTCATCTTTTGAAATTCCTTGTGTTTTTCCAAATTCCCAATCCTTGTGCTAGTATTTATTTTGTGAGGATGACTGGCTGACTGTAGGGTTGTGACGGTGAGGAAATAATACCGGTATCACCGCGGGGGCGTTCCCTCTTTTCCTCGCTTTCCTTCGCTTTTAAATCGCTTGTAAAAGCGGCGTGCGTATTTTACTTTCACTTTCGAGTTAGTGGCAGTTCGGCATTAATTGCTTGATTGCAACAACAAAATACAACGTCAACTCACTTTAGCCTAAAGGCCTATATAAAACATAGAACTTTTATTAACAAAACAAATAAAAATACACCATGCTATAGGGCAGGCTATGCCTAATATAACATAACTAATAACTTACATAAAGATTAAATAGGTATACAAAACTGGAAATAGGCTAAGTAAACATGTATAATATATAACCAAATAAATAAGAAACGTAGAGCGTTTATTAGCAAAACGAGTAAGAAAGCTTGGAGGCACAGCATACAACTTGATGTCAAATAAAATGAATAAATGACACAATTTAAATAAAGTAAAAATCAGCAAACACTGTTGAACCAATTAAATAAGAAACGAATGTTTAAAAAAACTTCCAAAATCACCTTACTGTCACCTTACACCTTATAATCCAAAATACTGCCAAACAGGCGCTTTTGCATCTGGTTTCGAAACTAAATCATCCGCGATCGTCTTGTCTGTCTCACCTCACTCTTCGTGTCAGTCAGCTCGACTCACTCTCCTCACTGGAGAAATTAAATCTGATCCGTGATGCGACTGTCGTTCGGCACGCTGCATTGAGTAGCCGCGTTCAGTTTTTAATTGTAGTGTCTGTTCTTTTACTGAACTAAATGATTTTTATTACTATAAAAAATCTAAACGGCGGTGGGGGTCGGTGCCGCAGTGGGCAAGTGACGTAACTGGTGTAGCGGCTTAACACCGGTATCACCGTCAGCACCGTCTATCGCGGCAAGCCTAGCTGACTGTACATTTAATTTAACTTATACTCTTATATAATGAAAAGCTTTCAGTTTTAGACTAAAACTAGTCTAAAAAAGGGTTGGTAGTGAATCTATTTTATCTATTTGAGGTCTAACAAAAATCCTAGGTATTGCCTAATAATAATACTTAATGTTATTATTAAAAAATATTAATAAAACTTTTTTTCTATAGCATCTCAAAGTTTGGAGATTGAGTACTTGTCCTGGAAACAAGCCTGTTATTTAGCTTGTTTAATACTTTGAGCATTTAAGTGATTTAAAGGTACTTATATAATTTAGTGAGTAATGCCACAAATGTAATGACTAAAATAATTCATACAAAAAAATTACAAATGTTGTTAAATTTCAGAGCAGGGGTGATGCATGCATGATGAAGTGTACTTTTTATGGTTACCATATTTATAGCACCACCTGGTTTTCACATGCATTTGCAGATTCGGGCCTTTCACAGTGTTAAGGTTTGAGAAAATTTGACATTTTGTTCAAAAACCTTTTTACTAAATTGAATAATAAAGCTATATGCAGGAATTATGCCTTTGCCATAACTGTTAATTATGCTGGGAATTCAGTGATTAACTTTTTTGACCAAAAAATTTTTCCTGCACTAAATTTGGCAAATATTCTTAAACAAAAAAAGTTACAGAGAGTCTTTTTATGTTTGTAATTGTTATTGTGCCACCAAGTAGCCAAACACTGAAATGTAATGTTTTGTTTGCATAGGTATACTTTTTTTTTTAATCTCATTGCAATCAAGAATTAAGAAAGCCATTTACGTAAAAGTATCCTGAAATTTTGAATGGATTTGATGATGCTAAATTGCAGTTGATCATAATTTTGATAATAGGATAAGATCCATCTGTGTAAACAGCCTAAAATTCGTTCACAAACGAATACTGTGGATTATTCCTAGAGGGAAGTGAAATCAGAGCGATAGATTGTGTTTGCCTCGATGCTACGATACCAGTTATGTAAGACATTCGAGTCTGAATCTTACTGCTGAGGAGTTTTGTTTTAGTTATAGTTTGCTGTGTTTTTAAAAAAAAATTTTTTTGTCCTCTTGTTCCCCAAAGACCAGATTTTCTGGGCCAAAGACATCATATTCTTGGTGAATGAGCATGATTTGATCGGCATGCAGGCCTGGCTGGAAGGCTACCATCACACTAACATCACAGGTGTGTACAGGTGAAGCATGCTGCTTTATTGGGGAATCAGAAAATGAAAAATTACCTAATGACCCAATTTCATAATTGCACTCACTCTGTCTATTTTCTAGAATAAATGGCAGGTTCTGTCTGTGGTTATGTTTCCGGCTCTCGCTTTTATTCAGGAATGGAGTACTCGCCGCTGCAGGGTCG